GTCTTTCTTATCCCGTCTTTCTTATCCCGTCTTTCTTATTCAGTCTTTCTTATCCCGTCTTTCTTATCCCGTCTTTCTTATCCAGTCTTTCTAATCCCGTCTTTCTTATCCAGTCTTCCTTATCCAGTCTTCTTATCCCGACTTTCTTATCCAGTCTTCCTTATCCAGTCTTTCTCATCCAATCTTTCTTATCCAATCTTTCTTATCCAGTCTTTCTAATCCAGTCTTTCTTATCCAGTCTTCCTTATCTAGTCTTTCTTATCCAGTCTTCCTTATCCAGTCTTTCTTATCAAGTCTTCCTTATCCAGTCTTTCTTATCCCGTCTTTCTTATCCAGTCTTTCTTATCCAGTCTTTCTTATGCAATCTTTCTCATCCAATCTTTCTCATCCAATCTTTCTCATCCAATCTTTGAATATTTATTCTGAATATCTTTCTAATATTGAACACAACTAAATGATTATTAGTATTGATCGCAATCTAAACCCAATCTTCTATGTCTGCACACATAATTAACATGTTTACCATTATTACAGTGGGCCTTATCATAATCTTTTTTATAACAACAGATGGTGTCAAAATAAACATGGAAAATTAAACTTCAACATAAATGTCTTATATTTCCGAAATGTGTCCTGCTTTCTTGAAAGCGAATTTATAACCATATATCTAGTAATATTTTGATGCGCGCATTAAAAACAGAAAACTGTGAATTAAATGTCGTCTTTTTATTATTTAGACTGAAGAAAGGTGGCTGAAATCTCTGAAAATGTTGAGAAACGGATATTTTGTATGATTTATTGATAATCTTGAATTCATGATCTTAATATCCAATGTTGACACTTTTGAATTGGAGATCAATGCTTGATCCCTTGAGTTTAGATATCCCTGCAGGATATGAAGGCTACAGGACATTGAACTGCATAATATGAAGATCAATGTTTGATCCCTTGAGTTTACATATCCCTGCAGGTATGAAGGCTACAGGACATTGAACTGCATAATATGAAGATCAATGCTTGATCTTGAGTTTACATATCCCTGCAGGGTATGATATTGTATATGCCTCTGAATACTATAACCTGTAATTAGTGTTCCCCAGACTGGGGGAGAGGATAGAATTGATTTCCAGGGAACATGTTTCTGTCTTGTAATCTAAAATATTATCTGAACTTCAACATTTTAGTGAAACCGAATTCCAGGAAATCTTTTTAGAAAATTGTGTTAGAGTAAAATCATTATTGAATCCTGAGATAGGTATAATTCAAAAATCAAAACTAAAGAATCCTAAAAATAAATGCCACCTCCAGAACAATATTCCATTAAGTTTATGGTGGTTTTAATTGTGAGAAATATACATATACGTTCTAATCTAAAATGATAAAGGCTTTCAATTTTTATCGAGAAATCCCGTTTTAACCAAATAAATATTCTTAGCTTCGTTGAAAAATTGATTTGATCTCCAGGTAAAGCTATGTTTAATGTTTATTGTTCCCAAGTTCTAGTTGAAGTAACAAAGGTTAATATCATCAGCTTGCAAAGATATAGGGATTAGAAAATTTGGGTTTGTGTCAAAGACTCCGCTTTTTACTCTTTTTTATACCTGAAGTTGACTAAGATCTCTCTTCTCCTCCTCAGAAATACTTTATAAATATTTAATCATTTTGTTATTTAAATTGAGTAGACAAGTATGCAGAAACATAACCAGAATATGTAATTTTAACATGTTAAACGTTCTATGATACAGTTTTCATTCAATTTCTTAATCAAGGTGTCATTAAAAAGCTCTTTATTTCAGTTATTTCAAGTTATAAATGTTTTTCTTTCTAGGTCTTGCAATTTTTTTTTCATACAACCCCTTCTTTGAGTATAAGTAAACAATCTAAAAATCTAAAAATCTAAAAAGTTTTTAAAAAATTTGCCCAGATGGGTTGGATCAAATATTTTTTGATGAAAAAACGAGCTATGAAATATACCGATTGATTTTCAAGAAAAATTGAAGCTTTCTTTTTTTTTTTCAATACTAATTTTTTTAGACTGCTCTAGCTTAAAAAATAATTATTGCTGATCCAAAATATTGGTTTACAAAGAAACCTAAGGAAAACAGCTTATACTAAAATAATAAATCTTCCTTTTTTCAAATTTTATGAAAAAATAAAAATAAGATGTGAATAAGATCTGAATCCCTCCAGTGGAATGTAAATCACCCTGCGTAAAGTTTTAAATTGTAAAAAGCATTTTTTCAAACCCCTCCAGTTAAAATGAATTCCCTCCGGTGGTCTCCAGTGGAATCAAAATCTTACTACGAACTTCTGTGACTCGTGAAAAAGATTAAAATTTTAAAAATCCCGGAAATTTATTTTCCACTTATTCTGAAAAAAGTGACTTTGACACAAAAATTATGAGACTTAGGAAGAAAAAACCTTGAAATAACTGATATACAGAGCTTTCCAATAACACCTTTATTGTGAAAATTAAAGGAAAATTGTTCTCTCAGCACCCTGTAAATAATACGTTACACCATGATTTGTTACATGCGACACATTACTCACGATATATTACACATTACTACACGTAACACACGACATGTTACGCTAACAGTTGACACGTTACACATGAAATGTTACACATGACATGTTACACATGACATGTTACACATGACATGTTACACATGACACGTTGCACATGACACGTTGCACATGACATGTTACACATGACACGTTGCACATGACATGTTACACATGACACGTTGCACATGACATGTTACACATGACACGTTGCACATGACATGTTACACATGACACGTTGCACATGACATGTTACACATGACACGTTGCACATGACATGTTACACATGACACGTTGCACATGACATGTTACACATGACACGTTGCACATGACATGTTACACATGACACGTTGCACATGACATGTTACACATGACACGTTGCACATGACATGTTATACATGACATGACACATTACACATGACACGTTACACATGACACGTTACACATGACAAGTTACACATGACACATTACACATGACACGTTACACATGACACGTTACACATGACACGTTACACATGACACGTTACACATGACACGTTACACATGACACGTTACACATGACATGTTACACGTATGCCAAGTTACGCACAACACGTTACACAAGACATGTTACTAATGACACATTACACATGTCAGAGAGAAAGAGAGACTGGAAATGAATGCCTAGTATAGGGTCTCCCAGGTCGTCTTTGACATTTGAAATAATTTGCAACATTTATCAGTAAACCTAGTTTTAGAAGTATTATTCTAGAGTTTATAATAAAATAATGAAAATATGGTTTTGCCTTTTTGGAAATGCCAAGGCTAGGAAAATATTGAGAATTTGTAGTTATAGTTTTAAATATCATACATGTTTAAGTAATTTGGCGAACTAATGCCGCAAAAAATTTAAATATCTAAGACGACCTTCAACTCGTCTCTCTCTACTTTGTACATTCTGTATAATATACGAATAAGATGTGCTTACTATGGATGAAGGTCGGGGGAATCATGGATGAGAGTAAACCAGGCCAATGACCAGCACATTGTTATACAAAATATAACGTAGTAACAGGCAGCCCAACCAAAACTAAAAAAGTTGTGCTTTAGGAATCTAAAGTTATGGGGAGGCTATTATCCTTCAAAATTAGAAGTGAGACAAAAAGTTCAAATAATTCTAAAAAGACATCAGAAAAATCTAATGTAAGATACGTCAATGCCGAAAGTAAAAAGTTTTATCGAAAAGATTAGAACAAGGCCGAAAGAGAATCATGTTTGAAAAAAATTTCCTATTTAAAGGGACTGTAAGCATTATTTCAAGTTGCAAAGTTGGCGATTCCCTATTTACAACAGTACCCCTTTACTTTTGTCTGATCAAGTATGATTTAGTTATCAATGTTTAAAATTAAAGTCACTTGCGCATTTCTACTGCAGAAAAGCATCATATAAAAACAAACACTTTTAATCCTCGAAAAAAGACAATATGTCTTTCACATTATTTATCAGATAAAGGTTTCAAGGGTACCGTTGTGAATCGGGCTTTGCCATCTTTGCATGAAGGGTCACTTAAAACTACGTGCACTGTCCCTTTGCATGAAGGGTTACTTGAAATTTCGCGCACTTTCCCTTTGCATGAACGGTTACTTGAAATTACGCGCACTGTCCCTTTGCATGAATGGTTACTTGAAATTACGTGCACTGTTCCTTTGGATGAAGGGTTACTTGAAATTACGCGTACTGTCCCTTTAAGATTGATTTACCTTTCAATAATATATCCACACATAGGAAAGGTAAGAATAAGCCCGAAAGTGGATCCGAAATAACTCTGAGCTGAACAAGAAATATCAAAGTTTTTCTTTTTATCATTAAAATATTTTTGAATAATATTATTAACAATATTTATAAAAAAGATTGTTTGATAGGAAATATTATTCCAAATTAAGACGAGTTTTTACTTTCTGATTAATTAATATGATTATCATATAAAGAATTATCAAGTGTACAGAAATAAAAATGAAGAAGTGAGGTTTAAAATAAAAATATTTTAAATCTTGATTTAAAAGAGACCAACAAAGCTGCTTCTCTCCGTCATTGGAACCCATCTAAATCAAAATATACTTATAGCAATATTTCAGAAAAAAAGTTTAGACAGTTAAAGGTTAACTAATTTTTATCTAAAAATTTTTTTGTCCTCAGAACAAAATTTGTGTGTGGAGTATTAATCTGGAATGTTTGATCTCGATATCCAACATGGACACTTTCAATTTGAGGATCAATGTTTGATTTCTCAATAAAGGAGATCAATGCATTATCGCAATATAGAAAAAATATATATCCGTAAAAACAATTACAAATAACAAAATCATTTACGACAAATAACAAAATCATTTACGATTACGACATGTACGAGTAATTTATAAACTACATGTCAACTATTTTATTACCTTGCTGTCATAACATGCATGGAAGGCCATGTTACTCCTGTCAGTACTCCGAAAACCACTCTTAGAGCTATAAACAGCTGAAATTATAAAACTTTAAAAAGTATCAATTTTAAAATATATTTATCCGACCTTAACGTCTGTCTGGGCAGCTATAGGATGTATGAGCATAAGAAGTCCAGGGATTGAAAGACCTAATCCATAAACTATTTTGAATCCGAATATTTCAGACAGTCTTCCTCCTATCAGCTGTGTAGTAATATATCCCCAACTGTGGAAACACAGTTGGTAAATTGATTATTTCAGAAATAAGAAAAATATGCAAAATATAAGTTATTTTGGCAAACGAAAACCTTTCCTAAAAAGAAATATAATTTCTAAAAATTCCACCGTCAGACTTCTGCATTATTAATAAAATTATGATTAAACACACCAAATTGTTTATTGATTTCAGAAAAATTGTAATGATACTAAAGCGTTAGCTTAAACAAATAAAAAAGGATTATTTATTCATTCTAAAATACACATACTACCCTGAATTACAACAAATCCATCTCAATGATCAACGATATTGCTGATACTAGAATTCCCAAAACTCTTCAGTGCCCAATTAAAAAAACCCGGTTTTTATTAAATTTTGCGGGTCGAAACGCCAACGCATAAGAAAATGTAAAAAAATAATAAGTGTAACAAAAAGACCTTTTTAGTTTACTTATATGATAGTATTATTCTCCTGATTATCAAATAAAAACAGTTGATTATCATGAATAGATTTAACAGATATTATAATTTAAAAAACTCATTCTCTGTTATTTTATATAAAAGATTTAAAAAGTTATTACTAATAAGTTTTTTTCTAACGATGCATTCAATAATTAACCCTCTACGTAAACCTGAAGGATGAGAGGACTAGACCCACAGTTCGAGCATCCCAGTCTAGTTTATCATCTTCTTCTTCAACTAGGTCAGGGACATGGTCTTCTCTGGTAGGCACACCAATACTTATTAAAGTTGAACAAGTTTAAAGGTTTAGATTTATCCATAAAAGGCTTGTAAACATTTTAGATATTGAGTAAAGCTTAATAAAGAATAAAGTCAACTGATAAGATGAAGGGTGAAGGATGAAGAATCAAGAATAAAGAATCAAGAATAAAAGATGAAGAATAAAACATGAAGAATGAAGAATGAAGAATGAAGAATGAAAATGAAAGATGAAGAATGAAGAATAAAGAATGAAGAATGAAGAATGAAGAAAAAAGAATTAAGAATGAAAGATAAAGAATGAAGAATTAAGAATGAAAGATGAAGAATGAAAGATAAAGAATTAAGAATGAAGAATGAAGAATGGAGAATGAAGAATGGAGAATGAAGCTGAAGAATGAAGGATAAAATATGAAAAATTGTGAAGAATGAAGGATAAAATATCCCGAAGTATGAACGTTTTAGGAGATGAAGGATGAAGAACAAAGACTTATCAGGGATTAAGAAAAATGTAGTATTATGATAAAGGAAGGATGAAGGGTGAAAAATATCCCTGAATGTACCTTGATGAGTTGTGTTCTATGATATCCCTAACTGTACATGGATGGGTTGTGTTCTAGGATATCCCTGAATGTACCTGGATGAGTTGTGTTCCATGATATCCCTGAATGTACCTGGATGAGTTGTGTTCTATGATATCCCTGAATGTACCTAAATGAGTTGTGTTCTATGATATCCCTGAATGTACCTGGATAAGTTGTGTTCATATCCCTGAATGTACCTGGATGAGTTTTGTTCTATGATATCCCTGAATGTACCTGGATGAGTTGTGTTCTATGATATCCCTGAATGTACCTGGATGAGTTGTGTTCTAGGATATCCCTGAATGTACCTGGATGAGTTTAGTTCTATGATATCCCTAAATGTACCTGGATGGGTTGTGTTCTATGATATCCCTGAATGTACCTGGATGAGTTGTGTTCTATGATACATGATTCAACAATTATATCTGTAGAAGTTCCAGACTTTGAATAATCCTTCACCATTTCAACTATTATCAAACTACAATAATCAAATTATTTGCTTCTAAAATCATCCTGGTGTAAAAACACATATGGTATGGTGTGAACCAGAAAACTCTGGAATAGAAAGACAACTTATAGACTCAAGTAATATTCCAATTAATATAAGACACGTCAATTGTGTAGTGTAAACAGAGTCATTTTATGTAAGAAGTGATTTAATAAGTTACCTGCAGTACAAATATTCGCTTTGTAACAACATCAAATACACTTAAGTATTATTTTATTGTCGTCTTCCTATTCCACAGCTTATGGTTCTCTCTGTACATGGTCCCGCTAGGTCGTGCTCGGTAAGGATTGTACAATTTTTTTTCGACCGAAGGTTTCCCGCATAAAAACATGCTAGAGCTGAACAAATGTTAGGTTCCATTAAGACATATTGATTGAGTTTGACAGGGGTTCGAAGTAGTTATGATTGACAGCTCTGATATAAATTTTAATATTTTGAATACAAATTATTAAAAACAAAAATCGAGAAGGAGAACATGACAAAGACTGGAAAAATAAGCTAAAAATTAAAATTTTCCACCAGACAGAAGTGTCTACAATTACAATAAAATTTAAAGATTTATGGATGAGATGAGATGTTAAATGTAAATTTAACACTCTCAAGCAAATTAAATTGTTGTCAGAACATATTCTTATTCTTTAAAATTGTATCTATGTGAGATAAATATAGTTTAGATAGTGAACTGAGTATGCATGCCTACCCAAAAAAAATCTTTGCAACCCAATGTCGTACACTTTAGCTATTTCAAACTATGATTTCTGATAGATAAAATATTCTAAATTTTAAATATAAAAGGTAAGCTATAGAGATTATAACATCTGAGTTCGTAGTAAAAAAACTCAAATCATTTGGTTCTTTTTACACTTTTTTATTTTCTACTTTTCAAATATTTTTTATCGTGAATCACCTCAAACTGATTCTCATCATGTAGTTTTGTATTTGGCCCCAGAACACTGAATTAAAATAAGATAATAATTATTAAAATTATTTTTAAAATAATGTTAAATACTTACAAAGTATACTGAGGACTGTTCGACATTTTATATGTTTGTAAATATTCATTCTTAAACAAAATTGTATTTTTTTCTTTTTTTTCAGAATTTCTTGCTCAAATTTAGTGAACCAGAGGCCAAATTTAAAGAATTTAAGCCGCGGTTTAAATTTAAGCCGCCGCTCAAATATGATTGGTTCCAGTTAAATTTGTATTAAATTGTTCAAGATTTAAGCCGGCGGTCAATTAAAACCGGTTTTTGGGGAATTTAAGACGTGGCTTAAATTCATTAAATTCGGACACAGAGCTGGGAACTCTTGTATTGTGAATTTCTAGATAAAGGATCGGGATTAAGAGTTTCCATGATACAAAGGTTTACAGCTCTGAATATCTTAGAACTAAGAGAATATTTCCTGACTTGACTAAGCTACAGGGTGTCTCACGAAACATGACAGTTGGTAATTAGTTTCTTCTTCCATAATTTGTTAAGTTGTTTAATACCAAAGACAATAATAAAATTATTATTTAGTAGTCATATTATAGTAAAATTTATTTCAAAGTAAAATATATTTGAGAAAAAGATTTTTTAAACGAAATAAACTGCAAACAGCCTTTGAAATCTAATACAGTGTATGGAAGACGACATTCAAAACTATTTACAAACTGTCATGCTTCGTGGGACACCCTGTATACTGAGTTGATTGGTACATGTAACAAATTTCAACTATTTTGACACAACAACTAATGTTTTTTGTATCTTCTAATACATATATGATCATTCATAAAATTTTCAAGTTGTATAACACACAAGATAGCACAGTGGGTTTTAAGTAAAAAACTACGCATTGATGTATTCGTTATACACCAACCATTAGCCAATATTTCTAAATACTAACTTAAAACCAAAAACAATTTTAAGTACTAGCGAAAGTTAAAAAGTCTTTTCAAGAAGATTTTATAGATAATAATAATAATAATAATGATAATATTAATAATAATAATAATTCAGCTATATTGTAAACAAATGTGTATATTTTATACAGTGAATCTAAGCTTGTAACAGTAGAAAAATGAGTTCCTCATTAAAATGTTAAATTGCTGAATAAAAGGAAAATGTGTTCAATCGTCTAAGTGTTGACAACTGGATGTGTTTAGATGAACTGAATATAATAATAATATACAGATTCTAGGAGTCTGTTTCTTCCAGCTTCTTCTTGTAAATATAAATGATATGTACCTTTTTTATTCCCCCCCCCAGGCAACAGATTTCCCTCCCCCTGGAATTTTTTACAAGGCATTTGGTAAATTTTATTTTAAAACCATGAGCAGGAAGTTGGAAAATGTGTTAACAAGATTTTATTTTTTCTAAAAAATATTAATTTTGTGGGAAAATTGGCGCCGTCCCCCAATTTTTTTTGGGTGGGGGACTTCCCCCTTATCTATCTATCTATCTATCTATCTATCTATATATATATCTATCTATCTATCTATCTATCTATCTATCTATCTATCTATTTATCAATCTATTCATCCATATATCTATCTATCTATCTATCTATGTATCTATTTATCTATCTATCTATCTATCTATCTATCTATCTATCTATCTATCTATCTATCTATCTATCTATCTATCTATCTATCTATCTATCTATCTATCTATCTATCTATCTATCTATCTATCTATCTATCNGGTTAAAATGTCTACGTATTTAATCTGTTTATGTATAAATATATCTGCTAAAGGTTAAAATGTCTGCGTATTTAATCTGTTTATCTATAAATATATCAGCTAAAGGTTCAAATGTCTGCGTATTTAATCTGTTTATCTATAAATATATCTGCTAAAGGTTAAAATGTCTACGTATTTAATCTGTTTATCTATAAATGGCGGACTACCGTTGTTTACAAGAAAACATGGTGACCTAAAATCAGGTATTTTTTAAATCAACAATTTTAAATTAAAAACTTATTTTTCCATTAAAAGTAATATTGTTAATATCATAGATGATTAGGCTGTCCACTTTTCAGTACCTTTTGCACTGTTGGCCTCACTGAACGGAGTAGCAATGTTTGGGTCATCTCATGACGTCACACTTCTAAACACAGTTACAAGGTAGATCATTGAATATCTATCTAATAAAGCGCTTTCCTCATATATATTAGCTGAATATTTTAGAGGGAACCCATGGTACCCCGGGGGGGTGACAGGCTAAAGCAATTTTGGACATTTTTGAAATTCCACGGGCAAAGCATTATGATTCAATACCAAGCGGTGTTAAACGGTGTGAGAGTCACTATGACATTTTCCTACTTTTAACCCGTTGCTACTAAAATTGTTAATATTTGATATAAATCTACTAAACTAATCACATAACTTGAAAAGTTTCATGATCTGAACCAGTACACAGATTGCCTGGTGTAGTGCTACTAGTATCAGCCCGTCTAGTGTACCCAATATGTGGTTTAATGCAACAGAGAAAGGCAGACGAAACTATAGTGTAATATTTTTTGCTAAATGTTTAGAGAATGTAGAATACAATGGAGAGACTATCATAACAGTATCAGGTAAACTAGATATTTTTAAATATTTTATTTTTGAAACAAAATATTTTAACATAGATTTGATGTTAAGGCTTATCATAGTGGTTCCCTTGGATTCTGTTGGGGACTTCCATGTACATAGACTTCTGGACTGTATTTTTCAGGTTAATTTAATTTTTTTTTTTAGTTTTTGAAACACATATTACACATAGTCACAGTGCTAAACAGGGAACTCTTTTGTACTTAATAACCCAAGATAATTAGGACTCGGATTCATATCTGTCCTAAAATTAAGGTTGGACAAGCTCTTATTTCGGGGCCAATATATTAACGATTCAAGAGCGGTTTTTTTCATACCAATTATTGTACATTTCATGTCAATTTATGAACATTCAAATATTTTATAGAATGCGTTTTTGATTCGTTAATTTTTCGGAACGATGGCATCGTTTACGGGAATCCTGTTCGTTCCTTGAATAAACTACCATTAACGACGCCCAGTTCTACCAAAATATAATGCATAGTCAGAAATAGATATAATAGTTGATAAGTTCAGGGGTTAATATGCTTCTGAACAAACTCTTAACTTGTAATTATGACATCGCAGCGAAAACGTTTTTTAATGAGTTGTAAGTGTTTGTGATAATTTTTGTCAGCACGTTTTATTTTTCTTTCTACGTTCGTTAACGAGGGCCATCAGGTAAATCGTTCCGTTTTGTTTCGGTCTTTGTACTAATAATTGAACACTTTCTTAGCCCTTCATTAACGTTTAGGTTGTTGACACTGGTAAATTATAACGGTGGTTTATCATTAACGATAATTTAATGTTTTAATCTGCAAATTTGACACTGTTGCTAATTACGGTTTATTTTATTAATTGTAGAAAAATAAGAACCGTTAAATTTGAAGTCATTCTATCTTGATGACATTTCCAACATATTCTGATTTAAATACCAATCATGATTTACAATTTCCTATTTAAACCTCAAATTTTTTAAATTATTTAAAATTTATTTTACCTCTTTTACCTCTTTTACCTCTTTTACCTTTAGAGTTTGGTTTTATTCTGCGGGCTTGATGACCTAATAGCACTCAGAAATATAGGTAACAAATTTATTATTTTAGATAAAACAAAAACTATGAATTTTGGTAGTTTAGATAATCTAAGTTTGAAATATCATAGGTTAACACCATCAGGTTACAGTGATATAGTCATCAGAACATTTAAGTTTGTGGCAAAGATTTAATTCCTTTATTTAAAAGAAATTTTAACAAGAATTGATATGAAATTCAAGTTATTCTGCGATATATTGCAGTAACAGTTTAATGTTTTCACTTTCGCCCTTAATCGTTTTATTTCCTTTAATATTTTTTCTTTTTTTCTTTTCAGTTTATTTTTGGTAAGCACGATAACCATCGATTATGCTGCACAATTTCTCACTTAAAAAGTATGTTTTTACCACAAAAGTTGAATTAAAAACTAAAAACTATATTTGTTCAGATCGTGTAAAGTATGAACTAAGATCAGCGTTCCCAGTTATTGATCATTTGCTCTCCGGACTGCAACCCAGGCAACAAATATAATCCATCTAATATCGGCATTTTTATAAAATCTACAAAATATAGTCCAATCAAAATATCAGCATTTTCATTAAATCTACCAAATATAATCCAGTTAATATCGACATTTTAATAAAATCTACCAAGTATAATCCAGTTAATATCGACATTTTAATAAAATCTACCAAATATAATCCAATTAATATCGGCATTTTTATAAAATCTACCAAATATAATTCAGCTATTATCGACATTTTAATAAAATCCGCCAAATATAATCCAGTTAATATCGACATTTTAATAAAATCTACCAAATATAATCCAGTTAATATCGACATTTTTATAAAATCCACCAAATATAATCCAGTTAATATCGATATTTTAATAAAAACTACCAAATATAATCCAGTTAATATCGGCATTTTTATAAAATCCACCAAATATAATCCAGTTAATATCGACATTTTAATAAAATCTACCCAATATAATCCAGTTAATATCGACATTTTTATAAAATCTACCAAATATAATCCAATTAAATTTTAGCATTTTTTGATAAAATCCAACAAATTCCAACAGTTTAATGAAATATGCAATCTCGGAAAATTTCTCCCATATTATCCATCCTACATTAATCCTACATTAATCCTATATCCATCCTATATCCATCCTGTATCCATCCTGTATCCATCCTATATCCATCCTATATCCATCTTATATCCATCCTATATCCATCCTATATCCATCCTATATCCATCTTATATCCATCCTATATCCATCCTATATCCATCCTATATCCATCCTATATTCGTCCAATATCCATCCAATCCATCCAATATCCGTCCTATATCCATCATATATTCATCTTGTATCCATCTTATGCATCATATCCAACTGAACCATGCTATCCATCTAATCCATCAGATTTGATCCAATTTGATCCATTGAAATTCCACCAATTCAATCCAATTCATCCTTCTCCAGCATTTAAATGTAATCCATCAGATATCAATAAAAATTCATTTTTAATTTCTAAATGAAAGTCCATCAAATACCACACCAGTTTAATCCAAGCTCAAACCAATCGATCTCTTATTTTTTCAATCCATCTAAAACCTATTTTTTAATTCTATCTTGATTTTTCAAGAAATCTTTTCAATCTGAAAAAGGGTCTTACAAAGAATTTTATATTTTTTATTTGGATCTAGTGATAAATCTGTTCTGTTCGGAGATCTGATTGGTGGAGCTGATGTAATCTGTGCTCAAGAATCCGGAGCTCTCCAACCCTACTTGGAGAACTATACAGAGGTAAACCGTCAATACCCCTTTACATTCCCACTTTCATACCCTTAAACCTTACTATCTTCATACCCTTATACATTCTCACTTTCACACCTTTAAACCTTACTATCTTCATACCCTTATACATTCTCACTTTCACACCTTTAAACCTTACTATCTTCATACCCTTATACATTCTCACTTTCATACCCTTAAACCTTACTATCTTCATACCCTTATACATTCTCACTTTCAAACCCATATACCTTTATACCTTTCTATGCTTTTACTCTTCTTCTTCATCTACACTCTTAAACTTTTCTACCATCCATACCTTCACACCTCTTCTACCTTCATACCCTTGAACCTGTCTACCTTCATATCCTTAAAGCTAACTTCATAGAAAACTTAAGAATAATTTTCTATGAAATCTTTGTAGGTATTTTAGATTTGCAATAGAATTATTTCTGAACAATTTTCAAGTTACATTTTTTAAATAATGCAGCCTAAAATTACAAAAATATATCAGCAGTATTTCAGAATTGACGAAAATCCCTAGTCTTCCGGTTAAAGCTTTAACTATCTACATTCACTTCCCCTTTTCCCTATCTACCCGTACTATTGTCATATCTTCCTACCTACAAACTTATTCATAAAATTATATATATATATATATCTTTAGGCTGTTGACAGTACATATGGGGCTGTTTTTGTTGCTGGCAAAATAGGTAACTGGTTAATAATTTATAATCCAAAAATATTTTGAACAATAATAATTCATGCCTCCTGCAACACAGCTACAGGGAATCTTGAAAATACGACTACAAAATCCAGGCCTTCTAGATAAAAGATATGACATAGGACCATTTTTTTATTGTGGAATTGACTTTTATACAGTGGTTGGCGATTATATATATACAATGAATAAGACTTTTTATTATTAATGCTTATTATTAACGTCGACTGTAGAACAGAACGAACCCTAAATATCAGTTGAAATTATACAACATAATAATACAATGTATAGTTTGTGCTACAAGTAACTGGTGGGGGTTACATACTGATGAACTGTCCCTTCTATCCTGTTTTATCAGGACGGAATATCCTTCTTCTCTCTCAGATACGCCCATCTTCCTTCCTGTCAAGGTAAATACGCTACAGGGTTACCCACAGAGGATGAGATTTCAGAGACGACTGTATGCAAGGTACTAATGCAAGGAAAGTTATTTCAGAGGTGTACTCATTTTTTGTACTGCAGTGTACTGTCTTTGGGCGGAAAAGTAAACACAAGACGGATGTCACAGCCTGACATGGAATTGCAATTTTCACAAAAATAATCTATGAAATATTCTGGTCATAGGACACTATTATGTGTATTTTTTAAAATGATCAAAATTAAATGCTTTTATCCTCCTCGGATACCAGACGAACACTGATGAGTGATGCATCTATACTTGTTTACAAATACCGCCCAAAGAGAACTGGTTCCGATATGTACGCAGAGTATACGCAACCGCAATTAACTTTCCTTCCATTAGTACCTTAACTGTATGGATATTGTTCATTCTCTTTCTTACGTTCATGGCTCCCAGCAGCTGGAAAATTTAGTTTTTCTTTGCAAAACCATTTAACATGAGTTTTAAAGACAGAAGTTCAAGGTAGAAAACTAAATTAAATCTGCAGGTCGTTATATTTAAAGACTTTTAGGTCGTTATTAAAGTATCATCATTTAAGGGTAACCCTGCAGGAAACATAACCACAACTGATAAGATCAAAGCAATGGAGTCTTAAACACAAACTTAGATTGTCAAATTCAATTGCAACCCAATGTTGTAGTCTTTAGAGGGAATAATCTGAGCTTGAAATATCAAAGGTTTACACCGTCAGGTTGAAAAGATATTTGGATTTAAAAAGTTAAGTTTGTGCCAAAAAAACGATTCCTTTGTCGATTAAAGATTAGAAACAGAACTGAAAATAATTTGGACTTTTTTAACTTTTAACTTTTAAACATATGTAGAAATTGATTTCAGATTGATATTAGAATTAATTTTATTTTTGTATTTTATTATTAACAAGTCTACTGTTTTATTGATAATAGAACCTGGAAATATCTTATTTTTCTAGAGTCCTACAGTACCCTTTCGTTTGGTCACTTGTAGATACAGGTAATTTATTTCTACAGTTTAGAAATCTGCAGAACATTCTACAGGTAATTTATTTCTACAGTTTAGAAATCTGAAGAACATTCTACAGGTAATTTATTTCTACAGTTTAGAAAATTATTATTATTTTTAAATTATTATAATTTTCAACTTTTAAACAAAGGTATCTGTGCTCTGTGGACCGCAACCTTTCCTACCCGAGATAGAAAGTATTTTAGGTATTCATCTAATCTCACTTACATATAAGTAACTAGGCTATTAGGGCGCTTCGCGGCCACTTGCATTATATCTTAGTATTTTGGCTTCATCTGTGAGCATCTTCTCTTTGCACAATATAAATCAATGGCCAAAAAATAGTTTGCGGATTTAATAATATTTTTGAAAGGATTTTCAATTTTTTTTGGAGACAACTTTTTGTAATTCAGAGCCAACATAAACCTTCCCTGGGGTCATGTGAGTTCCCCCACGAAATTTGGACCCGATTGGTTTAGCCGTTTTGGCATTTATTGGATACAAACGGACAAACAGACAAGCAAAATATATATAGATAAATAACTAAATGAATTTAAGAAATTATAAACTTTTTCTGAATAAACATGGTTTCACGCATATCTACTAATAAATTAACCTCTAGAAAAATCTTTTCTGATAAAACACATTGTCTTTTGTAATAAGAGTAATTTAGAAATGAGATCCAGCTTGATTTTTGTGTTAAAGGGACTAATTAAGCGTAATTTTAAGGGACACATCGTGCAAAGATGGCAATGTCCGATTTACAGTGGTACCCTTGAAAAATTTAAACCTTAATCAAATATAAAGTGTGAAAGAAACCGTCGTTTTTCTGACTCTAAAAGTGAGTTTCTCCGTTGCTTTTTATGAACAAGGCCGGAATGCGAAAGCCACTTTCGCAGAGAACCCGCAAATAAAAATAAGCAGTTTAAATAAACAAAAACATTGATACATAATTTATAATTTGATCAGAAAAAGGTTTCAAGGGTACCGTTGTAAATCGGGCATTGCCATCTTTGCATGGAAGGTCAGTTGAAATTATGCTTACAGTCCCTTTACGAAATATCTTTTTCTCGAAAATCTTAAATTTTTTCATGTTTTGAGGTAAATATTGGAAACCAGGGAACCATCTTCTTCAACCTCTTCAGGTAATTATAGCTTTCGTTAAGCTACTGGGTGTCCCACGACTGCCTTAAGGTCGTCTTAGAACTTTGAAATTATTTGCGGCATTCGTTCTTCAACCTATATTTACATGTATGAGCCTGGAAACATAAAACACAAATTCTTCTATTCCTGACTTTTCCAAAATGTGATCTGCTTTTTTTGTGCTGTCAATATTAGAACTCTAGAATTGTACTTCTAAAATTAGCTTTACGCATAAAATGCCGCAAATTATTCCCAAGATCAAAGACGACTATCAAGTTGTCTTGCCACTGTCATGTTTCGTTGAACACTCTATCATTCGGCTGCATCTATCTTATTTACGACAAATGTTTAGAATTCAATCCCCAGAGGACTTCCGTCAAGTCTTGAGATTGATAAAAGTGTACTAGGTAATTTTTAATAAATTTAAATAATATTTAATTAAGAATAATATTCTTATAGAACCAGAGATAAAAATTGTAAAATGAGTTAATTACTTATTCTGTCTTCGAGTATAGATTAAGCAATTTCTCCTTGACCAATAATTGTTTAAATTTCAGCTTTAATTCTTGTGAACACTGTTAAAAAGCGAATACTCTCGTCCATGTCACCGCAATATGGCAACCATGAAAGGTACGCTAAAATTATGAAAATACCTAAATTTACATTACATGCATTTAGGATCCTTGAAATGAAAATCTTAGCTTTTAAATAAAAAAAACTCGGGAAAGGAATTGAGTCTAAGCCACAAATCCCAATTTTCTAATACCTATATTTTTACAACCAAATGATGTAAACCTTTGATATTTCAAACTTATATTGTTTGATATAACAGACGTCATAGTTTGAAATATCTAAGGTCTATATCATTGGGTTGTTTAGATATAAAATTTAAAATTTAAATTTTGTGGGAAAAACTCAATTCCTTTCAAAGAGAGATCATCCAACATTTTTAATAACAGTAAGCTCATATGGGAACCAAATGTGAAGAAACTTATTTTATAAAAGTTTGAGAAATATACGTTTTGCGCAATATTGTTTATACACTTGATAACTCGTTTGTTGCCCAATTTAAAGACAACAAAGAAATTAATTTTAAAATTTCAACCTTAGATTATGTTATATTACAGAATTCAAAGTTTAAAATTTTCAAGGTCTACGACATTCGGTTGTATATAGAAATTAGAAATTAAGAGTTTGTGGAAAAGACTAAATTTCTTAACAAAATATCACAGCAAACATCTCATGTTCAGAGAAGCAAGAAATTCTACACTTACGCTTCCACGTCGTTTAGAAATCTGCAGAACATTCTACAGGTAATTTATTTCTACAGTTTAGAAATCTGCAGAACATTCTACAGGTAATTCATTTCTACAGTTTAGAAATCTGCAGAACATTCTACAGGTAATTTATTTCTACAGTTTAGAAGTCTGTAGAACATTCTACAGGTAATTTATTTCTACAGTTTAGAAATCTGCAGAACATTCTACAGGTAATTTATTTCTACAGTTTAGAAGTCTGTAGAACATTCTACAGGTAATTTATTTCTACAGTTTAGAAATCTGCAGAACATTCTACAGGTAATTTATTTCTACAGTTTAGAAATCTGAAGAACATGCCACATGTGATTTATTTCTACAGTTTAGAAATCTGCAGAACATTCTACAGGTAATTTTTGTCTACAGTATAGAAAACTGCTAAGCATTCTATAAGTAATTTAATTCTACAGTTTAAACATCTGCAAAACATTCTACCGGTAATTTATTTTTACAGTTTGGATGTCTTTAGAACATTCTACAGATCATTTTTTTCTACAGTTTAGAAGTCTGTAGAACATTCTTCAGTTGATTCATTTCTACAGTTACTTATTAAGATCGCGGCAGGCAGATCAAGAATCTTTTTTTTTGAGAATAGAACTAACGGAGCTTGAAGTCTGTTCTTTATAACTTAAATGGAATTAAAATCACTATTACAAATAAGAATTCTGTAGAATCTATACATATAATAATAATGATAATTTGTAGGTCTGTTGTCGGAATTATCTTACAATCCTCTGCTGAACCTACTCCACATACAACAGGTTTAGTACTTTAGTCAAAGGCGTTCGTTCTTAGGGGGGGGGGGGGCTATGGAGCTCAGTCCCCCACGGAACAGTAAAATCGTTGGTTTCCAGGAATTTGTTGGGCCCAAAATGGGTGCTGAGCCACCCTTAGATTATTTTTACCCCCCCCCCCGGGGAAAAATTCCTGAAAATAGCCATGATTTTAGTACTTTTTTTTTTAAAGAAAGACAAAAGTTAATGTATGTATTGTATACAGTATACATATGTCCAGCCTAAGAAGTGCAATTTAAAAAGTTTTTTTTTAGAGTCTGCTGGTTCATTAATACCTGATCATACCTCCCATACTACCCTTATTCATCCTGTGTTAGAGGTAAATATAATGTTCTAAGACAAATTAAAAAAAGATCAAAAGAAAATCAAAATGTAATAATGAAATGTTATAATAAGTCCTTCCTCATTTTCTTCACTGATTATAGTTTTATTTTTTTTTTTAAGACTTTCCAGTGCTCTGAATACCACAAATGCTACGCAGTCCAAACAGGTGAAGTCAATTCTTATATATAACTTTGCGTTCAGAGGTGAGATTTTAAAAGCTTAAACCCGAGTAAAACCCGGTCTTTGCGTCTGCTTAGACTCAAGTAAAGCTCAAGTGAAGACCCGGGTTTTGGATGGCCTTGAGTTTAGTAAAAACCAACCACCTTGGGTTTTTTTTCTCTTCGAGGCTCGGGTCTTCAGCAGCTGATGATAGTAAATTTCGAAAAAACTTTTATATTTTTTACATTTAAAATCTCGGGAATTATTTGTAGTGTCAAATTTTATCAAAGGTATGAAATAAACATACTATACAAATAATGTATCTACGTAAAGTTAGAATTTTCAAAATTTACATCTCCTCTTCACAGCTGATCTGCTAGTAATCTGTCTGCTACAGAGAGAAAGCTTTCTAATTGCAGTTTGTAATTGGTCGAATCAGAGCCAATCCTGACTTGGGTTCTATCTAAACCCAACTCTGGGTTTCACTCGGGGTTAAGCTTTTAATTCATCTCAGGGTGCGACCAATTTCACAGTGTAAATGTTACTTTCAAGTATCCATTTTTCCTTCTCAAAATTTCGCGGATTAAGATTGACGAATTACATTTTTATAATTCAATATTTCTTTTCGGACAAAATTATTTTGATTTGACCAGCCATACGACTTACCATGAGGTCAATGTCAGTAGTGGCAAAAAAAATCAAGATCATAATACATATTATAATATGATTACATTCTCATAAGAATATAATTGAATATATTATGGGTTTTTTTTCACAAAGTAAGACAAGGTTATATCAGTTTAATTTTCTCTGCATATAAAGGAATAGCAAATTTTCTGTATTTGACGTTTATTAGATACAAAGATGCAAGCCAAATTTAATAATAAACAGAAAAATATAACTTTTTAAAGTCCAATCAGCATAAGACGCAGCATTTGTGCAGTGTAAGACCAATATTACTAAATTAGTGATTTAATAAGTTTCTAGTGAAACTATTGGCTATGTAACAACATGAAACACACTTAAGTATTGATTAAATGTCGTTTTCCTATTCCATTGTTTTCTGGTTATCACTGTATATATATACATATATTAATAGATAGCAATCTTATAAATAAATTTCTTTTTAAGGACCCTATCAGCTCTTCACACTTTTCATATCAGCTGTTCCAAACCATTCAATAAGAGCTATCAGTAAACGAACTTTAGCAAGTATTATCAGAGACAAGCAGAGTAATGTTATCAAATAGTTTAGTTAAATAAACAGACAATATTATGAAATATGTTAATAATTTGTGAAAAATACATCTTGAATTTGTGTTTAAAAAAATAGACAACTGCAGCTTAAATGAGGCTGGCTTCATTGTATTTAAACCCTGGACCGAATTTGATTAATTTAAGCTGCCTATACCGCAGGTCCAAATTTGAATTACCGATTCAAATCCTTACTTAATATTTACCTTTGAATAAGGTGGTTCAAATTTGAACCGGCAGTAGGTTGTTCAGCGACGCAGCTCAAAATCAATAAATTCGGTCCCAGGACAACATAATTCTAGCTGGTGGGAAGGAAAAAAGTTCAATAACTCGTATGCATTAATCGTATTGCATAAAAACATTGCCGAATATAAAGTGTATGTGAACCCCGCTAGATGGCATGCGCGGGACCGAAGTATATTCTTCAATTCAATTTTTTCAACCCTCCCTAGCACTCAAACTATAAAAGTTATCGATCTATCTTTTTTTTTCAATGAGTTGGCCTCGAAAAGTTGTGATATGATCATGCATTTCAACCCTATACCTATTCTCTAAGGACTTTGTCTAGGTGGGGGGGGGGAGTGGGAAATCCCCCTTTCAGTCTATTCATAGATTCAGACCCCTAAGCCTTTATAGGGTTAAACAAAAAATGTTTGTCCTTCCTCCCAGGAAATATTTAACGGAAATACAAAAAGTTTATTTTATGTCTTTTTTCATATTTGATAAAGTTCCAACTTACTTTGAGTTTTGACTTTAACATTTATAAAGTTGGATCAAAGTTTTCAAACCTTATGTCTGAAATGCATGATGTCCATTATGATTTGTACCGTCAATATGTCAATGAGTTTTGCACGGAAATCAAGGTTGGTGTCTTTTTCTCATGAAAACATTTTAGCTTCTAAACTATTATTTTGTTTTAAAACTTATATTTATAATTTTAAGTAAGTTCAGAACATTTTCTACTATTTATTTAATATAATTCATATATAAATATATATATATATATATATATAAATATAAATATATAGAGAGAGACAAGGAACTATATACCAGGAACGCCAAACTCAGATTGTATACTGTACACTGTGGGACACAATTAAGTGTGCAGTCCTGTTAGACATTGAATTATGTCTACTGTCCCTTTTTGCATTGATTCCCATGGAATGAGAACTTGGTTTTACTTTTATTGAAACATCTGAATTTTACCATATAAAGTTTCCCTCTCCTGCCTTTAAAGCATATACTCGCAAGTAACAAATATTCTTGGGTTTTATAATCATTATTCATGTCTACGATAGCAATATATCTTATTATCCCACATAATTGATGTTTTGCCCCTGAACTCTTTATTTTGATCTCCTCCCACTGCAGTACACAGATTTGACGCATCAGATATGGCTGTTCCTGGTCTTTATATTTCTTGGAAAGAGATATATTTATATAATACTAGGCTTATAGGGCGCTTCGCGCCCATCTTCTATTTAAATTGTGAACATGTTCTTTTTGTTTACATTTTGAAACAAAGAAGACAAAATTTTTTGCAGATTTTTTAAACATAATTCACGGATTTTCAAGAATTTAAATTTTTTTACAAAATTAAAAACCTTTAAAACACATTTTTTTTATCATTCATAAACCTTCCCTGTGGTCACATGATGTCCCACAAAATTTTTTGGCCCGATCGGTTCAGCCGTTTTGACGTTTATTGGATACAAACAAACAAACAAACAAACAGACACCCAGACAATCCAAATTTATATATAGATATAAATATTACGAACTCACAGTTCAGAACAGTACATTACACGAAAAAACAACACAGTACAGAACAGTACAGTACACCATAGAACAGAGAGCAAAGAACAGTAAAGTTCACCATATTATATTAAACACAAAACAGTACAAAAGATTGCAATACACTTAAACAGTATAGCACACTACATAGTTGGTGAAAATGAATAAAATAAAATCTAAATCCTTCCAATTTATCAGTGGTCTGAGAGAATTAATAAAACCCATGTCTTGGTTTTATTTAAACCTCATGTTCAGCCAGATATCCTAGGAGAATTCCATATTTAACAATGAACATTGTATACAGAATATGTACTCTTGTTCAGCCAGATATCCTAGGAGAATTCCATAATTAACAATGAACATTGAATATAGAATATGTACTCTTGTTTGATGAAGCCTGAGATACGTCTGCCATATTTTCTAAAGAAATTTGTAAAGATAAAATATTACTAAATAAATAGGAAACATTTTCATGTAAAGCATTTTTATAGAACATCAAAAAGTGACAAAGTTTGTATTATTAAAAGAAAATTTTTGATCAGTGACCTTTATTGAGATGCTGGCAATTCATCTTACAGTAACCTCACAGGGTGTTTCAATTTTTTTTTTGAAATGAAATATAAAAATAATTGAGCTTAGATTAAAAATAAAATTTTAAAAATATTATGATTTGTTTTGATCCGATCTGGACTTTAAAAAAAGTAAAATAAAATTAATTTAAATCTTTAAAATACACCGTGACGGATAAAAAAAAAAGATAGCTCTTAAACAAAATAATAATATTGAACATTTTTTGGTGAATTCTTAAATTTCTTGTGAATTTTTTAAATTTTACAAAAGAGCTTAAAGTTTTTTTTTAACTGTTAAATTTTCAATTCTTACCTATTTGGAACTCTGGAAATGATTTTCAGCTGGGTATTTTTGACTTATAGATCTTTTTTTTTACATTTTTATTTTACTTTATTCTTCTTTATTCTCTGTTGTTGATTTATTACAACAATAATATAATCCATCTTGTAGAGTCCCTAGAGACCAATTGACATAATAAATTCTGATAAATTAGCTGTGTCATCCTTTCAATTTGAATAATAATTGGGGATGAATTTTTGTGGCAGACAAAAATCTTTAAATAATGAAATTACTTTTAGTCAGTGACAAAAAATCCGTTATTTGAGAAAGTAATGGATTTTTAATCACTGATATTTTGTCGTTAAATTTGATACTTTCTAATTCGTAAGCAAGGGACAAAAAGTCTGTAACTAAAGGATTATTTGTCCCAGACAATTAACATTGTGGTCTTAAGGAAACAGTGTAGAGTTCCTAGAGAGTATACAGCATTCATTCTTTTCTCATTTTTATTTTTAAATACAAGAAATTTATTTAAACTAAGGAATTCTTTATGGGCCCAATATTGTTGTGGTTTATTTAAAAAATAGCAAAAATTCTGTTGGAAAAGATTATAAATTCCAAATGTTCACAAACCAAAAAGAAGTTTGGTTGCCAACTAAGGAAAAAATAAATTGCATAAAAAATACTAAAAAGTTTTACAAACTTAATAAAGATGGATGCACAAAGCTGTATGAAGTTCATATTCTCCTGGTGAAAAATAAAGTAAATTAAAAAATAAAATATTTTGTGTAAAAATTATGTTAATTCAAAATTTTTAACCTACGTTTTATGAACTGATAATTTGTATGTTTGTTGATGTGTTAACGGCTGAACCGATCCTGCACACATGAATTCTAAAATAACCCAAAGAAAGGTTTTTAGAAGAGATTCAATAAAAAACTGTTTAATCTATTAAAAAAAATGTTAAAAGTTGCGAATTTCTTTAGTTTTTGATGCATTGAGTTCAAATTATGGCATGGAAAGCTGAGTCTAAATATATTTATGCATAAGTTTAAAAATTTCGTAAATATCAAACTTTAAATTCATTTAAAAATGATTTAACTGTCCTAATTTGAAGTTGGTTCTTCCATCTGTAGTTAATCTGATATATTATATATATATATCATTATATTTTTAATTTTAACTTGATATGTTTATCTATCTCCCATGTTATTGTAATGAAAAATATTTTGTATACAGAAAATATTGAATGATTATAGGATATATCAGAAGCAGAGTTCAGGACAGATTCAAAGGCTGCATTATTTATCTATCTCTCTGTCTATTTAAATCTTATAATCCAAGACTGTCTGAAATCCCCGCTTATAATCAACAGTATTTACTTCATGCACCAGACCATAAGTATCCGTTCTAATACCGGGTTACCCACAGAGGATGAGACTGTAAAGACGACCCACAACTCTGAACATACGACAATTTGAAGCTTGTTGAGTTTTAGTTTCTGCATTTAATTAAGTATTTTGATGGTTTAATAAATGATAAAGCAAAGAATTCAGCCAGTTTTTGCCCTGCAAGTATCCCCAAATACAAGAAAACGGACTAAACAAATACAGTACAATTGTCTCTGAAGTCTCATCCTTTGTGGGTAACCCTGTATATCAAAGATTATACTGCTCGAGGTAAGTTTGCCGGCTGTACACTAAATTCTAGTTACATTCAACTGAATATTTGTTACATTCATTAACAAAAAACGAAGCAAGCAGAAACCTGCTAACATTTATTACCGCGATCAACTTTTGCGTCATGATCGGTACTTACTTCAATTAGTATAAAAAATGGAGTAAGTGGCAAGTAGAATTCACTAATTTTTGATCTACATTAAGTCTCATTAAGTGACACTTTTTCAAATATTCTTATGTAATAATTTACATTCTTCTTTTTCTATCATTCAACACCAATATCAAGTAGATAGATTTTTTAATGATTTTTTATCAAACCATAGATAACATAATACACTGAATTTGTTATGTTTCAAAGTGTGGTATTTAAAACTTGAAACTTCTGTACTCTATTCCTTTTCATTTTATTCAGAACAATTAATAAGAACTTGCTGCATTAAATCCAATTTATTTTTAGAAAAGGCAATATTTTAAATCAAATTATTAATTTAAGTTACAATAGAATGAACATACATCTCTGTATCAATTACAAGTAATTGATACAGAGGCATGTTCAGCATGTGAATATTGCAGAGGTTCCTCCCTCCACTCTTCTCCATTTAGAATTTCCAGGCTGTCTACACCTCCACCTCCATACCCTCCAAATACTACCAGGTTGTTGTCCAGCACCTCCATTGTTAGATGCCCTCTCTCCCTGGTCAGCTT